TTTCTCTAAAGGATACACAAAAAGTTAAAAAATGATATCGAAAGTGCAATTATGTTATATGGTATGTTATGTAAAAATCTTACTATAAAACATTTCTATACTGAAGTGAGATTAATAATAACAAACTTTTAGTTAAGAGATAAATTTATTTTATAATAATTATAATAACAGTGCTTAAATAAAAATTAATAAATCAATAAAATTATTGTTATAGTTCATATAAAAGTTCATACTGAAACACAGAGTGTCACAGAAATTGTAATAATTTGCGTCATCGATACTTTAGAATCAGCCATCGATGCAACTACGATACCAAGTAAATATTTTTTGATATAAAAGAAGGTGTGGGGAATCAATAAATCTGTGTGGTGAAATCACTATAATTTAGAGGAATCGTTATCGTTGCCACAAAGCATTCAAAAGCATAAACAAAGAATCAACAAATTTAAAAAAAAGTCATTTATATTTGTGAGGAGTATATGTATGTATATATATTACAAAGAATTACAAAAAATTTATATATAAAAAACACACAAATTTTTTACAACATATTGAGGTTAAATTCAGCATAAAGCAATAAATTTAGTGCACTGAGTCCTCAAAGATGCTTAAAGTATCAACAAAGGATCGATGCCATTGTGATTCTTTAAATATTAATGCCACTATAAGGTGCTTTGTTGCTACTAAAAGACACAAATGTTGACATTTCTTATTGAATAACACTTATTACTGAATAATTCGAATTGAAATTGACTGCAACGATAATTTTGGCACGCTTTTTAGAACTATTTCTTTTACAGTGATTGATATTTATTAGAATAGATTATACCGGCGATACTAAGGATCCACTTAGACTTATTTATTATTAGAAATAAAATACATTCATTACACAAAATACTTCCTGAGATTTACCAACACATTAGGAAATGTTTTATATTAATTACATTCTATCAAATAAAATAGCATTTTAATACGCACCACTTTTGTTAAAATTTTATATCTTCTTTGGTTTCAACAATCACAAAGGCGCGGAAATGACACTACTGAAGTTAAGTTTCAGATTAGAATGGTGACTTTGTGCAAAATAAAAAAAATTGTGTTGAGTTGAGAATGACAAAACCTACCCTTCCAAATATAAGGAAATCAACATTTTAATTTTATATGCTTCGCTATGTTTAGATTCTAAATTTTAAGAACTGCAAGAAAAGGAGCTCCAAAGATTTTTAATCTTTCTGTTTATATAACAGAATATTCTTTGCTTGTTGAATATACTAATTACTTTTAATAAATAAATTGTTTTTATTTATTGTTTTTTTAAAATTTAATAGTAAATAATTTTAAGTTAAAAAAAATATTTTTAGCCCACTGTAAAAACGTCTGCCGTTTGCGGAGCAAATCGTTCAAATGTCTTTCTTCTTGGGTTTCACTTAAGTTTTTCATTTTTCATTTCTTTCGCTTATTATTGATTTTAACTTTTTCTTATTCCTAAAGTTTCAAATTTTCTTGAGATTATTTAAATTTTACTTTGTTTTTGACTTCGATCAATTAATTTTGTTAGAATTTCATTTCAAGCTGTCGGATATCTTCCGTATAAAAGAAAATTCTATCTGAGGTTGGTTTTAGAACGTTAACAACTACGCGTGTGTGAAGACAATAACAACGATTATCGTAATTATTATATTTGAATTTTAGATGAAATAAAAAAAGTATATATTTAAAAAAAATTAAAAGGATATTAAATTTGAAGTGAATATAATCTGGAATAATAAAATATTTCTCTAAAGGATACACAAAAAGTTAAAAAATGATATCGAAAGTGCAATTATGTTATATGGTATGTTATGTAAAAATCTTACTATAAAACATTTCTATACTGAAGTGAGATTAATAATAACAAACTTTTAGTTAAGAGATAAATTTATTTTATAATAATTATAATAACAGTGCTTAAATAAAAATTAATAAATCAATAAAATTATTGTTATAGTTCATATAAAAGTTCATACTGAAACACATTATTTTGGTCTAAAAATAAAATCTTAATAATTTATAATAAAAAATTTATAATAAAATTATGTGTATATTTTTTTATACCACAGATTGAAAAGAAAAAAGAAAATTAATATACAGTGCTAATCCTATGTGTACTTTACGTAATAAATATATCCTTAAAATAATTATATAATTTCATTAAATTTAACAAAACAATTAAAATTTGAGCTAAATATTTAAAATTTTAAATTATATAAAAATTATAAAAAAAATAAATATAAAGTAATGTGATAAATGTTCATTACATGTAATATGTTATATGATATATAAAAGAAAGTAATAAAAATAATAAAAAAAAAGTACTGATTATCTGTTATGATTTTTTAACGGTTTTAGATTAATTTTAAACCACTGAGCTTAAATTTTATTAATTTAGGTCCTATGCTCCATTGAGAGAGAGGAAGTAGGAATAGAACTAGAAAAATAACTTTAATTTCCGACCTGTTTTTCTTCCTGACTTTTGGGTTCAAGTTTTAAGAGGATACTACAAATTTATTATTTTAGAAGATACGTATTTTGTGTCTTTAGTGAATTAACTACAAATGAAGAGATAAATCCTTTTGCCTTAGACACTCTTTCGCAAATTCTTTTTCCTTCACATTAAAAGGAAATTATTCTTGAAATCAACCTGTGGAAAATGAAAAGCATAAAAAAATATTTATTTGATAAATTCATATTTTGAAAAAAAAAGAAAATTTTGGAAAGTTCACTTATTCAAGCTCATGTCTCCTAAAATAACAATTTTCATAGATATTGGACTTATTTCGTCGCGATCGCAGGACACGACTACATAAATTTTCACTCGTATATATAAAAGAATACGAGCAAAAATTTGACTCTGGTTAATGTCATAAGGTGTCATTGACTCATTGTCATATTATCTCATCCAGTCTTGAGAAGTAATCCTTCTGCTGTCTAGTTAACACAAAATTTTTTCCTCTTACGTTATTAAAAACTGTAATGATATTCTGCTTAACTATATTCTCTAGATTATCACATTCTATCATATCGAACGCTTCTCAATTGTCTATTTACGTATAGTAGCATCTGTTTTTTGCTGGATTATGAATCACTAATACTTGTGTATTGTATATGGTTCGTATTGTATCGGACATCTTTTGTATCAAAATTAGACAGTCTCAGGCACAAAAATTCAAAAATTTTTAGTCCATAAATAGGTATTATACTGACTTGAATATCTCTCCGACTTTGTTAGGAATTTCAAATAATAATTTCATTTTAAATTAGTGATATATAATAGGTTTTTCACTTTATTAAACTGTATTGCCATTATTTTCAGATTCTTTCCGTGATAATTTTAAAAACTAACGCTTTTTGGTGGAATCCAACAACAACGTAAGCAGAATAACAATTATACGATTCTTATTACAACAATTAATTGTGTTTTCTTATCTTATTTCTTTGTCAATAAAGGGAGACACCAACAGTTATTAAACACATACCACTCACATATTATCGAACTTATACATACCAACCGCTCTCACTTAATCCCTACTCGTATCCATTCTTTGGCAATGGTGGCTACGGTTCACCGCAACAATCGCCCCTACTAGCTGGAGCTCGTTATGATACTTCTTCAGGCAATTTCAATCCAGAATTTCAACATGATGTTACTGCTTCTGCAATAACAACTGCAACTCCAGCTCCAACCACATCAACTTCAACAACAACTCCTGCACCTACAACTACAACTAGTACAACAACAACAACTATGACTACATCAATCGTTGAACCTCTCTTAAATGGAGCACCTTTTGGACATTATGGCAGTGAATTCCCTACTTATAATCGACGTATTTATACGAGTAATTATAACCCAAATTATTACAGACCTCACTATCCATACCCGGATTATTCATCTTATGCTCCATCTTCGATTAAATCATCACAGTTACCTACAAATATACAATTTGTACCTTGCATGTGTCCTGTAAGTGTTGGAGTACCTTCCGGACAGCCATTAGAGACACAATCAAACCCTATTTATTTAGCACAGTCACGTTCAACAGTGAGCGATGAAGCGGATTTGGATTTATCACTTGAAAGCGATGAGACAAAGTCGAAAATTGTTATAGAACCCGAAGTACTGAGTAATAATGCAGCAGAAGTGAATTCAGAGGAAATACATTTCACTAATAAAATCGATGAAGCATTGAGTGATAAGATTAAAGCGAATTTGAATTCGGAAAGTGAACACCATTAAAAAATTTTGTTAACAAAAGATTTATATAAGTATTTAATAATTTAGACTGAATTGTAAATTTAAAAATATATATACATTTTAGTATTATGTGTATTATTCCAATAAAAATTAAACGAAAAATTCAGGAATTTTTTTTTGGATTATAATAACAAAACGAATATTAGGAGTAAGTAAGAAGCATTTTTTATTTTAGAGCGGATTCTATGAACGATGTTTATAATAGAATAGCAGACATATTTCACAATCGTCCTCTGATAGCAGATTATAATAGAATAGCAGATATGTTTTATCAATTTTACTAATTTATTTTTATAAATTCAAGTCATGATAAATAAAAAAGCAAAGATCTCATTGATCCCATTTGGAACTGTAGATTGATAATCGTCTTCGTTATATTCAGTTCTGCGAAAAAATTATTGTGAAAGATTTCAATTACAAACCTTAGCTCAGGGTGTAGCTAAGGGATAAAAAAAGTATAAAAAAAGTCTTATGTCCAAGAATTAAATTGCGTGAAATAGCAGAGATGACATACATATCTTATGAACATGTATCGAATATTTTGCGTGAATATTTGGGCATGAAATGGCTTTCGGCAAGATGAGTGTCGCGTTTGCTTACAATTGACCAAAAACGACAACGACTTCGTAATTCAAATGTTTATACATAATCTAGGTGACTGCGAGCGTCGAATAGTGACAATTGAGGGAAAACAACAAACCAGAGAATGGGTGGAGACATAGAAGAGCATTCCCAAACGACCACGAACTCAACACTTGGCTGGAAAAGTTTTGTCTTCCGTATTTCGGAATTCCAGTAGAAAAATTTTTATACCTTATTTGGAAAAATACAAAACAATATTGAGAAAATCAAGAAGAAAAAAAAACGAACGATCGAAGAAAAAAATTATTTAACAGTCAGAATGTTTGGAAATAATTCCTTTTATTCTAACCAAGAATACACATTTTCTACATGCTAAATCCCACATACATATCAACTGTAGTACAGCTCTAGAGCTGCCGGCATACATTACGACCATCTTATTCCAACACATCTAAGAAAACCAAATTCAATTCTAATTTAGCATCTCCATGTACATATACATTAATTACAAAGCAGTTCTAAGACTGCTGGCACAAGCCTCAAACGAATTTATTATATTTCAACCAATTTATTGAAATAAATAAATAAACCCAATGAGAATTATAAATTCGTAAAATTGTATATACAATTCTTTATTTGTACATTGGTACACTGTTTCCGGTAAGTTAAAACATGTGCGCTAATTACTAATGGTGCAGCACCTACTTCATATTTATTCTTTTTAATTACATATTCCTTTACCATATTTTTGCTTTCGATGACGACATAATTATGTAAAAAGTATGCTTAAAACGATTGGTAAATTATGCTTTTTATTCGGAAGTTAAAGGAAAGCCGTTTCTGTCCATGTCAAATTCTATATACAGTCGAATCCCGATAATTCGAAACCAAAAGGAAACAGCATTTTTTATTAATTAGATGGGTTTTCGAATTATGGAGATTTCGATATAACGAGGTTCAAAAACAAGAAAAGATTTTTACATATGTTTATGTATTACATACTATTAATAAAATAAGAAAATAAAAACATAAAAGATTATATATATATATTAAGTATTAACTTTAAAAAAGTTTGTAATTATTGATTGCTTCAAATTATTTTCGCCTATTTCTTGAATTGGTTTTTCAATTGATTGCTGATTGACCGATTTGGCTTGTTTATTTATTATAAGTTGTTTCTCACTTGCCATAAATAGCGCACATTTAAATCCTTTTTTTCACCCCTGACCAGGGTATTTTAAAAACATTTTAAACATCAATTTAAATATTGATTTTATTAGTGTAATGTATTTTCTCTGAGTTAACTTCTCCTGGATTATTACTAGTACATTGATATGATGTTGTTTATCGTCTGTTTAAATTTTTTTGTTTTGTATTTTGATTCTTATCAGCTTACAGACCCGAACAATTAAACGCATTTATTTAAAAATGTTGGCAAATATTTCGTTCTTTATTAAGAACTTCATCAGTTCTATATAATAACAAACATTAATTTCAAGATAAAATACTAACATCCAAATATATATACCTTATTTTTTAGAAAATGCAATAATTTTCCTGTTCCACAATAGTCATTAATAATTAAAATTGTATTAACAAATAAAAATAAAAAATTAAAACAATTAAAATTCACACATTAAAAATTAATAAACAATTTTTGGACATAAATAACGAGCATAACAAAACTAAAAAATTTTTTTTTTAATATTAATATTCCGCCAAAAATATTGATAATAATAAACGTTCTCTTTTTTATATCTCTTATTACTCAATAAGAAGAAACTTAACAGCTGACTTTTATTTTCATTTATCTCTTATTTTTGATTAGCTTGTATTTATCCAATAAATTAGT